CATGGTAATGGAAGGAGACCCTCAGGGTTATACAGTGGAGGAGGTAGAGAGAGAGGAGGGGAGGGGAGGGGAGAGGTGGGGAGGGGGGAGGGTGGAGGATGGGAAAGGCAGCGGAGCACAACAGACACTAGTATGGCAATATGTAAATCAATGGATGTGTAACTGATGTGATTCTGCAATCTGTGTATGGGGTGAAGGTGGGAGTTCATAACCCACTTGAATCAAAGTGTGGAATATTATATGTCAAGAAATTTGTAATGTTTTGAACAACCAACAATAAAAAATTAAAAAAAAAAAAAAGCGTACTACAGGGATACTGCTACATCAATGTTCATAGCAGCACAATTCACAATTGCTAGACTGTGGAACCAACCCAGATGCCCTTCAATAGATGAATGGATAAAAAAAAAATGTGGCATTTATACACAATGGAGTATTATACAGCACTAAAAAATGACAAAATCATGGAATTTGCAGGGAAATGGATGGCACTAGAGCAGATTATGCTTAGTGAAGCTAGCCAATCCCTAAAAAACAAATACCAAATGTCTTCTTTGATATAATGAGAGCAACTAAGAACAAAGCAGGGAGGAAGAGCAGGAAGAAAAGATTAACATTAAACAGATACATGAGGTGGGAGGGAAAGGGAGAGAAAAGGGAAATTGCATGGTAATGGAGGGAGACCCGCATGGTTTTACAACATTACATATAAGAGGTTGTGAGGGGAATGGGAAACTGAACAAGGAGAGAAATGAATTACAGTAGATGGGGTAGAGAGAGAAGATGGGAGGGGAGGGGAGGGGAGATAGTAGAGGATAGGAAAGGTAGCAGAATACAACAGTTACTAATAGGGCATTATGTAAAAATGTGGATGTGTAACCGATGTGATTCTGCAATCTGTATTTGGGGTAAAATTGGGAGTTCAAAACCCACTTGAATCAAATGTATGAAATATGATATGTCAAGAGCTTTGTAATGTTTTGAACAACCAGTAAGAAAAAAAAATGGCTAATGAGGGTTCAAGGCTAGCCATAATAAATTTTAACATAGTTAATCATCTTTATGTTATACAGTTGGCTGGGGAACGGACCAGGGAATTGGTGGATTTGGAGAGGAACCAGGAATTAAGTCTCAGCTAACGAACCTGATTCGATCTGTAAGAACTGTAATGCGAGGTAAGAAGAAAGACTTGAAGAACATTTTGAAGTTTTAATTTTATGGTTTAAGTAACAAAGCTCCTGAGTATGAATAACTATTGCATACCCTTTTTGTAGTGGGATTTTTTTGTTTTTCTCTCTAACCCAGCTTTACTCTTGAAAGTTACTGGCTTCTTTATTAGGTTGCCTAAGAAAAAACAGTTACACAAGCTTGAAGTTTTATAATATGGTGCATTTGCTAATGTTCTCTTTTATAACTATTTACAACATGATTATGATGACATATCGTATTTCCTTCTTTCCTTATTAGTAGTTGTTGCTACTCAATTTTTTTCCTGATTTTTCTTTATAGTAATGAACTTCTTTTTTTCCTTTGCAGTGCCATTGATAATAGTAAACTCAGTTGCTATCGTACTGCTTTTATTATTTGGGTGAACAACAATGGGAGAAATGGAGACCCAGAAGAAGAGATGCCAGTGAAGTTATTATTTCAGTCATTACTAGAATATTCATTTCTCTGCAGGCTGATATTGCACTTGACACAAATGTAAAATTGAAAATAAAACCAGTTTCTATTTATCTGATTTTTTTTTTTTAAATACTGCACTTGCAGTTTATTACAGAAAGATCAAGTCACCAGAGGTAGTAGCTGTCCAAGATTGAAATACATCTGACTGCTGGCTATTAATAACAGTTTTTGCTATGGTAAAGATTGTTTAAAGGGTACAAGACTGTCTCTCTGGATTGTTTGTTTGGGTTTTTAGATGTTTTTCTCTCACTTCTCAGGGATGAATTTTTTTCCAAAGTTTTGAAGTTCCTTGTGACTTAGCTGTGATGTGAGAGTAATTATCCCCCTAGATTAAATTTAAAGAATTTTTAAGTAATTATCACATGTAAATGGTAAATAAGTAATTTGGATAATTTTATTTTAAACTGTTGGTTAAATGGTCTATATGGTCTTGTTATGAAGAATTAAAATTTATATATACTATAAAGGATAATATTCTTTGATTTCAGGGAAAATTCTAATTTTGTAAGTCACCTGATGATTGTGGTCTCAAGTTCTTTTTATGCATTTTATTAATTGGCCTGAATAATGAGATCAAGCCAGTATCCGCATTTTCATTGGTAGAAAAATCTGTATAGAAATGTCTGTACCCTTTTTACAATGATGATCACTTATTTTATAAAATCAGCATAAATATTAGCCTGCAGTATCAACCCTAAATAATCACAACTAAACCATCCTATGTAAGAAGACTATTTATTGTGAAGCCTTTACCTCCCAAAATATTATTATGTTTCCATTTCTTGGTGGAGCAGCACATTAAAAAGTGTGATTCTTAATTCTTCATTGAGAAGAATTCTTCAATAGAGCATTCATGCTAGATGTTGTTTTTTATTTTTTGTTTATATGTCTTGAATCATCTTGTAAGGTTGTTTGCTTATCCCATAATATGGTTTTATGTAGAAAGGTTTAAACTATGTAAATGGTTTTTTGAAAATTATCAGTTATTTTGAAGGGGTGGAATGGCATCTTTGTTGATAGAACTTTTGTAAATAAAGTTGAATTTTCAAATCAAGCATTTGTTTTTGTATTTTAGCATAAGCCTGTCAGTATTAATTATACTAATCTGTTTTTTTGTGTAATATCTCTTAAGTGTTCTTTGCTGAGTGTAGACTTAATGAAAGTAAACACGCAAAATCCATTTTTTTCCCTTTGGTGAATTAACTGAATTGCTGGCATAAATCACCAGGTCTAATGGGTAAATTTATTCCTTGACTTAAGTTATTTCTAATACCTGCTCCATAGAGCAGGTGATATTGAATACCTGTTGGTGACACCTGAGTTAGAGATGGATGATCTTTAGCTTGGAATGTGGCCCTGCAGCTGGACCAAGAAAATCTACCAAGGAATGTTAGTTGATACTTACTTCATATAAATAACTAACATATTTGATACTTAGAGGTGATGTTCTTTCAGCTTAACAAAGAATTGGTGTATGAGTCAAATTTGAGCCTCTAAACAGATTTTTTAAAAATCAGTTGAAGGCATTCCCATTTTTCACATGCCATGAGTCATACAAAATTTTAAGAGAAAAGAGACTTTGGCCTGATGCCATTTTTCATGTAAGACATTACAACACACCTTCATGTTAATTTAGTGTCAGGATATTACCCAAGTCCTCACTCCACTGAGGAGAAATCATGGCAGGGTCTGGCAGGGTCTCCGCTGAATATACAAGAGAAGAGGAAGGGGAAACAGAATGTAACAGCTCTGACATAAACTCTCAGTGAACCTCATTTTTATCCCAGTGCCCACATTGACACTTTTAGGGTTTTCTCACTTTTCCAGGGCTCTCAGAATGAGTCATATCAGGGTTTTTAAAAATTTGTTTGTTTGTTTATTTATTTCATTGTGTATTCCTCTCAGAGTTTAGGTTTCAGTGTTCTCTGCTTAAATCAGTCACTCTTTTTCCATTGATTTATTTATCTGATTTTGATTTATTTCACTTGCCTGGAGACTCTGACTTGTTATCTTGTTCCTTTATTGCTATTTATTTATAGAACTTCTAAAAAAAAGATAAGAATAAAGTCTATATGCATCATAATTTAACCAGAACTTTACTGCTTTCATATTGTGCAGAACTTTAATATTAGGTTTATAAGAGTGAATCTATTAACTAGTTGGAAAATTACCCCATTGCCCTTTCTCATGGATATTTTCCTGTAGCAGTTACATAGTTAGGAAGATGGAACAACTGATAGTAGTCATTTACGTGCATGTATGACTCAGAAGACTAACATGAAATAGTTTTTACGTGCTGTAAGTACTTGAAGGTCAATGTTACATCTTTGAACTTAGATTACAAAAAGAGCACTGCCACATAGTGAAGAATACTCATTCAGCTACTTGGAAGAGAAACAGTTGTCTGAAAGAAAGAAGTTAAATTTAAAACATTTTTGATATCAGAGATGAAACCCAGGGGCACTTAACCACTGAGCCACATCCCTAGTCCTTTTATATTTTATTTTGAGACAGGGTCTTGCTCAGTTGCAAGGTTTTATGTAGAAAAGGCCTTGCTAATTGCTGAGGCTAGCTTTGAATTTGTGATCCTCCTTCTTCAGCCTCCCAAGTTGCTGGAATTACAGGTGTGCACCACCACGGCCAGCTTCAAACTAATCTTTTAAAAAATGGCCGAGGTCGGGCTCCAAATTCCTTAATAGGACACCCATAGCACAAAAGTTAATAACAAGAATCAACAAATGGGACTTACTTAAACTGAAAAGTTTTTTCTCAGCAAGAGAAACAATAAGAGAGGTAAATAGGGAGCCTACATCATGGGAACAAATTTTTACTCCTCACACTTGAGATAGAGCCCTAATATCCAGAGTATACAAAGAACTCAAAAAAGTAAACAACAAGAAAACAAACAACCCAATCAACAAATGGGCCAAGGACCTGAACAGACACTTCTCAGAGGAGGACATACAGTCAATCAACAAGTACATGAAAAAATGCTCACCATCTCTAGCTGTCAGAGAAATGCAAATTAAAACCACCCTAAGATACCATCTCACTCCAGTAAGATTGGCAGCCATTATGAAGTCAAACAACAACAAGTGCTGGCGAGGATGTGGGGAAAAGGGTACACTTGTACATTGCTGGTGGGACTGCAGATTGGTGCAGCCAATTTGGAAAGCAGTATGGAGATTTCTTGGAAAGCTGGGAATGGAGCCACCATTTGACCCAGGTATTCCCCTTCTTGGTCTATTCCCTAAAGACCTAAAAAGAGCATGCTACAGGGACACTGCTACATCGATGTTCATAGCAGCACAATTCACAATAGCAAGACTGTGGAACCAACCTAGATGCCCTTCAATAGACGAATGGATAAAAAAAATGTGGCATTTATACACAATGGAGTATTACTCTGCATTAAAAAATGACAAAATCATAGAATTTGCAGGGAAATGGATGGCATTAGAGCAGATTATGCTAAGTGAAGCTAGCCAATCCCTAAAAAACAAATGCCAAATGTCTTCTTTGATATAAGGAGAGTAACTAAGATCAGAGTAGGGACGAAGAGCAGGAGAAGAAGATTAACATTTAACAGGGATGAGAGGTGGGAGGGAAAGGGAGAGAGAAGGGAAATTGCATGGAAATGGAAGGAGACCCTCAGGGTTATACAGTGGAGGGGGTAGAGAGAGAGGAGGGGAGGGGAGGGGAGGGGAGAGGGGGGAGGGGGGAGGGTGGGGGATGGGAAAGGCAGCGGAGCACAACAGACACTAGTATGGCAATATGTAAATCAATGGATGTGTAACTGATGTGATTCTGCAATCTGTGTATGGGGTGAAGGTGGGAGTTCATAACCCACTTGAATCAAAGTGTGGAATATTATATGTCAAGAAATTTGTAATGTTTTGAACAACCAACAATAAAAAATTAAAAAAAAAAAAAAGCGTACTACAGGGATACTGCTACATCAATGTTCATAGCAGCACAATTCACAAT